TGTGTGACCATTTTTAGCCAAGTTATACAGAAAAAACCATTCGGAAATATTGCATTTTTAACAGAAATCGATTCCCAGATTTTTTGTAAACAAAAAATCAGTATTTTGGTCAGAACACTCGAAATAATGGCCCAAATGTGGAATGTCATACCCCGTTGAGCTCGTTATTTAAATCCCAATCGATTTGTATTCGAATTTGGGAATTTTAATTTTTTTCAATTTTTTGCAAATTTTGATGATGGTACCCCTTACAAAAAATGCGAAAATTGACCAAAAAATTGATTTTCCCAACTCGGACAAAAAGTGATAGGGATGATTAGTATTGGTAATTAGGAGCAAAAAACTGTTATTACCTTAGCTGTGTGACCATTTTTAGCCAAGTTATACAGAAAAAACCATTCGGAAATATTGCATTTTTAACAGAAATCGATTCCCAGATTTTTTGTAAACAAAAAATCAGTATTTTGGTCAGAACACTCGAAATAATGTGGAATGTCATACCCCGTTGTGCTCGTTATTTAAATCCCAATCGATTTGTATTCGAATTTGGGAATTTTAATTTTTTTCAATTTTTTGCAAATTTTGATGATGGTACCCTTACAAAAAATGCGAAAATTGACCAAAAAATTGATTTTCCCAACTCGGACAAAAAGTGATAGGGATGATTAGTATTGGTAATTAGGAGCAAAAAACTGTTATTACCTTAGCTGTGTGACCATTTTTAGCCAAGTTATACAGAAAAAACCATTCGGAAATATTGCATTTTTAACAGAAATCGATTCCCAGATTTTTTGTAAACAAAAAATCAGTATTTTGGTCAGAACACTCGAAATAATGTGGAATGTCATACCCCGTTGTGCTCGTTATTTAAATCCCAATCGATTTGTATTCGAATTTGGGAATTTTAATTTTTTTCAATTTTTTGCAAATTTTGATGATGGTACCCTTACAAAAAATGCGAAAATTGACCAAAAAATTGATTTTCCCAACTCGGACAAAAAGTGATAGGGATGATTAGTATTGGTAATTAGGAGCAAAAAACTGTTATTACCTTAGCTGTGTGACCATTTTTAGCCAAGTTATACAGAAAAAACCATTCGGAAATATTGCATTTTTAACAGAAATCGATTCCCAGATTTTTTGTAAACAAAAAATCAGTATTTTGGTCAGAACACTCGAAATAATGTGGAATGTCATACCCCGTTGTGCTCGTTATTTAAATCCCAATCGATTTGTATTCGAATTTGGGAATTTTAATTTTTTTCAATTTTTTGCAAATTTTGATGATGGTACCCTTACAAAAAATGCGAAAATTGACCAAAAAATTGATTTTCCCAACTCGGACAAAAAGTGATAGGGATGATTAGTATTGGTAATTAGGAGCAAAAAACTGTAATTACCTTAGCTGTGTGACCATTTTTAGCCAAGTTATACAGAAAAAACCATTCGGAAATATTGCATTTTTAACAGAAATCGATTCCCAGATTTTTTGTAAACAAAAAATCAGTATTTTGGTCAGAACACACTACCATCATCAAAATTTGCAAAAAATTGAAAAAAATTAAAATTCCCAAATTCGAATACAAATCGATTGGGATTTAAATAACGAGCTCAACGGGGTATGACATTCCACATTTGGGCCATTATTTCGAGTGTTCTGACCAAAATACTGATTTTTTGTTTACAAAGTTTTTTGCTCCTAATTACCAATACTAATCATCCCTATCACTTTTTGTCCGAGTTGGGAAAATCAATTTTTTGGTCAATTTTCGCATTTTTTGTAAGGGGTACCATCATCAAAATTTGCAAAAAATTGAAAAAAATTAAAATTCCCAAATTCGAATACAAATCGATTGGGATTAAAATAACGAGCACAACGGGGTATGACATTCCACATTTGGGCCATTATTTCGAGTGTTCTGACCAAAATACTGATTTTTTGTTTACAAAAAATCTGGGTATCGATTTCTGTTAAAAATGCAATATTTCCGAATGGTTTTTTCTGTATAACTTGGCTAAAAATGGTCACACAGCTAAGGTAATTACAGTTTTTTGCTCCTAATTACCAATACTAATCATCCCTATCACTTTTTGTCCGAGTTGGGAAAATCAATTTTTTGGTCAATTTTCGCATTTTTTGTAAGGGTACCATCATCAAAATTTGCAAAAAATTGAAAAAAATTAAAATTCCCAAATTCGAATACAAATCGATTGGGATTTAAATAACGAGCACAACGGGGTATGACATTCCACATTTGGGCCATTATTTCGAGTGTTCTGACCAAAATACTGATTTTTTGTTTACAAAAAATCTGGGAATCGATTTCTGTTAAAAATGCAATATTTCCGAATGGTTTTTTCTGTATAACTTGGCTAAAAATGGTCACACAGCTAAGGTAATTACAGTTTTTTGCTCCTAATTACCAATACTAATCATCCCTATCACTTTTTGTCCGAGTTGGGAAAATCAATTTTTTGGTCAATTTTCGCATTTTTTGTAAGGGGTACCATCATCAAAATTTGCAAAAAATTGAAAAAAATTAAAATTCCCAAATTCGAATACAAATCGATTGGGGTTTAAATAACGAGCTCAACGGGGTATGACATTCCACATTTGGGCCATTATTTCGAGTGTTCTGCCCAAAATACTGATCTTTTGTTTACAAAAAATCTGGGAATCGATTTCTGTTAAAAATGCAATATTTCCGAATGGTTTTTTCTGTATAACTTGGCTAAAAATGGTCACACAGCTAAGTTAATTACAGTTTTTTGCTCCTAATTACCAATACTAATCATCCCTATCACTTTTTGTCCGAGTTGGGAAAATCAATTTTTTGGTCAATTTTCGCATCATCAAAATTTTCGAAAAAATTTAAAAAAATTAAAATTCCCAAATTCGAATACAAATCGATTGGGATTTAAATAACGAGCTCAACGGGGTATGACATTCCACATTTGGGCCATTATTTCGAGTGTTCTGACCAAAATACTGATTTTTTGTTTACAAAAAATCTGGGAATCGATTTCTGTTAAAAATGCAATATTTCCGAATGGTTTTTTCTGTATAACTTGGCTAAAAATGGTCACACAGCTAAGGTAATTACAGTTTTTTGCTCCTAATTACCAATACTAATCATCCCTATCACTTTTTGTCCGAGTTGGGAAAATCAATTTTTTGGTCAATTTTCGCATTTTTTGTAAGGGGTACCATCATCAAAATTTGCAAAAAATTGAAAAAAATTAAAATTCCCAAATTCGAATACAAATCGATTGGGATTTAAATAACGAGCACAACGGGGTATGACATTCCACATTTGGGCCATTATTTCGAGTGTTCTGACCAAAATACTGATTTTTTGTTTACAAAAAATCTGGGAATCGATTTCTGTTAAAAATGCAATATTTCCGAATGGTTTTTTCTGTATAACTTGGCTAAAAATGGTCACACAGCTAAGGTAATTACAGTTTTTTGCTCCTAATTACCAATACTAATCATCCCTATCACTTTTTGTCCGAGTTGGGAAAATCAATTTTTTGGTCAATTTTCGCATTTTTTGTACCATCATCAAAATTTGCAAAAAATTGAAAAAAATTAAAATTCCCAAATTCGAATACAAATCGATTGGGATTTAAATAACGAGCTCAACGGGGTATGACATTCCACATTTGGGCCATTATTTCGAGTGTTCTGACCAAAATACTGATTTTTTGTTTACAAAAAATCTGGGAATCGATTTCTGTTAAAAATGCAATATTTCCGAATGGTTTTTTCTGTATAACTTGGCTAAAAATGGTCACACAGCTAAGGTAATTACAGTTTTTTGCTCCTAATTACCAATACTAATCATCCCTATCACTTTTTGTCCGAGTTGGGAAAATCAATTTTTTGGTCAATTTTCGCATTTTTTGTAAGGGGTACCATCATCAAAATTTGCAAAAAATTGAAAAAAATTAAAATTCCCAAATTCGAATACAAATCGATTGGGGTTTAAATAACGAGCTCAACGGGGTATGACATTCCACATTTGGGCCATTATTTCGAGTGTTCTGACCAAAATACTGATTTTTTGTTTACAAAAATCTGGGAATCGATTTCTGTTAAAAATGCAATATTTCCGAATGGTTTTTTCTGTATAACTTGGCTAAAAATGGTCACACAGCTAAGGTAATTACAGTTTTTTGCTCCTAATTACCAATACTAATCATCCCTATCACTTTTTGTCCGAGTTGGGAAAATCAATTTTTTGGTAAATTTTCGCATTTTTTGTAAGGGGTACCATCATCAAAATTTGCAAAAAATTGAAAAAAATTAAAATTCCCAAATTCGAATACAAATCGATTGGGATTTAAATAACGAGCACAACGGGGTATGACATTCCACATTTGGGCCATTATTTCGAGTGTTCTGACCAAAATACTGATTTTTTGTTTACAAAAAATCTGGGAATCGATTTCTGTTAAAAATGCAATATTTCCGAATGGTTTTTTCTGTATAACTTGGCTAAAAATGGTCACACAGCTAAGGTAATTACAGTTTTTTGCTCCTAATTACCAATACTAATCATCCCTATCACTTTTTGTCCGAGTTGGGAAAATCAATTTTTTTGTCAATTTTCGCATTTTTTGTAAGGGGTACCATCATCAAAATTTGCAAAAAATTGAAAAAAATTAAAATTCCCAAATTCGAATACAAATCGATTGGGATTTAAATAACGAGCTCAACGGGGTATGACATTCCACATTTGGGCCATTATTTCGAGTGTTCTGACCAAAATACTGATTTTTTGTTTACAAAAAATCTGTGAATGAGCTGGGAAAATGAATTTTTTGGTAAATTTTCGCATTTTTGTAACGGCAATAGCTGACTTGTTCTTCGCTGTAGCCAGATTATCATCACCGACGAGTCAGAGAGCCAGCTGGTAGGAGGGGAGACAACGAATGATAAGTGCGCAGAGACCCAGCCTCAGCTCGGCAACCTGGCAGCTTGGGAGCTTGGGAACTTGGCGAGCTGGCTGGCTCAAAAGCTGTGGGCCGAGAAGGCCGATCCAACCAGTCTGGGCCCAAACCAAACAGTCAGTCGCCAGCCAGTAATCCAGTAGAGCGCGTTCGGGCACGGACAAGTGTTAGAGACAAGTCTGGTCTCAGATCACACAAAATTCCAAAAAAGTATAGTGAGAAAAGAAAGAAGAGAAAAAAATCGGCATTTAGTAAATCCAAATACAACCAGACGTCGAAGCGCGACTCAAACGGAAAAAGTATATATAATTTACCTACGCTTTTTTGTTTTGTTTCATTTTTTTTGTTCGTTTAAGTTGTATTTTCTGTTATTTGCATATCTATTTCCCGTAATACACTTGCGAAAGCTCTTCCTCTCTTGGTGGCTAATTTGAATACCCCAACTTGCAAACAACATTTGAAATGGCATAGCCCAAACAACTTTGGTGAATAACATTCGTCTGTGAAACTATTTTTTTTAAAGTGGCTTAAAGTTTTTATGTTGGTAACTAGAAAAACGGTAATGGCCCAAGTAGTGTAATAAACTGGTAAAAAAGCAGGCTTGAACTCAAAAATGATATGACTGCCCATTAAAACTACGAACTAATCGCATATATGCAACCTTCTAAAAAACACAATATCACTGTTTAAGTTTCTAATAATGCAACTGTGCTAATACGTAAAAAACAAACATCGAGATGTGTGCTGCAACTCAATTCTGTTGAGTTAGGTGTGACACTTTTTCAGGCGATGCCTTCTGGGTACTGAATATAAGTCATCGTGGGTCTTCCAGGAATTCGCATTACTAATATTACTAGCCCAGTGGAATTGGATTCTCGACAGCATATAGAAAAGCTTACCATTTTGAATAGGCAGTGCGCTCAATTGGACAATGGCGCCCTGTTTTCAATAGGCAGGCCCATTCACAAAAGAGCCAATCTAAGGCTTTCCCTCCCAGGCAAATGAAAAGGAAAGATCAAAATAAGGTACAGTAATCCCCTGGCAGAATAAATTGCTTTTGATTCTGATCCGAGAAAGTTTCACTCCACTTCACTCGACTCCACTCCACTCAATTGTATCTGATCGTGTGCGGAAGTGTGGCAGAATGGAGAGTTCTCAGCGCCTTGATGATTTCATCAAATTTAATTGTTATCTCCATCGTGCCGACTGCCTTTTATGGACGGATGCTACTGGGCTTATGGGGCTCTTAAGCCACTGCACTTTAATTGGCTCTTGACCGAATTCGAATCGATTGCCTGGAGGGGCTTAGCAGTTCATTATTTTGGGAAAGGCACCTTTCCAGTTGGATTCTGCATTCCATAGTCACGGGAATATTACAGCCTACAAGTCATCTAGTAATCATCTAGCCATCTTGCAGTTCGGGAATTCTTATGGTGGTTTAGTACTTAGAAGGTATCGAAATATGGAATGGCTAGCAATTAAAACGAATATCTTGAGCTAGGCACTTCTTAAGTGAGTTCAAAAAAGGCCCAAATCCATGTGTTTCCTACAATTATATAAATGGGTGGCAGCAAAATAAATTGCAAGTAAAACACAATCCAGTTTGGCCACCGCACCACTTAGAAGGTAAAACGTGTGCCAAACCAGAATCTAGGTACCAGCCAGTAGATGTTCAGTACTGATTGTACTTCAGAAGGTATTCATGGCTAATGCGTGGGTATCGCCCAGTTGGAATGCTGTCGAAACGCCGCCGTAGAAGCTGTTGTCTGTTGTTTTCCAGAGTTTGAACACAAAACACCGAGCAGTGTCTCCGATGCTTACGCATTTCGATGAGGCAAGCTCGTCTTGGGGGCGCGAGAGAGACGCAGCGATGCGGGGCGGTGCGGAGCGAGGGAGACGGCTCAATAAGCGCACAGCGCATGCGCAGCCCGGTTTGCGATACATACCTGACGTACACCGCGAGAAACAGTGGGGTACGTCGAGCTATGCGGCACGCTTAGCTGCACATCCAACAAGGAATGGGTACTGAAGTTTATTATAGTGTAAACACCTCTAGGGTTCTAAGGATTGATGATATCTTATATCATATAATATATATATATATATCAAATATATAATAATATACAGATATCAAAACTTTGCAAAATGATAAACCCATTTTACACTCAATAATCATGAAAGTCATCCATGGGAGTAGTTGGAGTTACGAACCGCAAGAATATGCGTACTTATTTCTTTCGGTGCACTTGTATTTCAACTGGCACTCATGCCTCGCCAGCTCTCGGTCGTCGCGTAATCATTAAACCATAGCTGGGATCTGGAGGGACGGGTGCGGAGTACTGGAGCATGGTGGAGCTACCCGGGGTATTTGAGACTCGGAGCGAGCGACCAGTCAAAATACCAGTTTTTTCCAACTGAGCGACAATGCGAACCTATCTATAGATACCTTCTGGTCTCTCAGTGTTGGTGTGTGTGTGTGAGAGTGTGTCTGTGAGGCTGCATACAAAAGGTACTCACCTACCTGTGCATACATACATAGCCACTTACATGGCTAAAGGTGTGCTAGTATGTACAATGTACACATGTACATGTGTGTGCGCCGAAAATCTTTACATGAGAAAGAACACTAATCCAATTAATTGCGATTTTTTGCGCGGCCTCACGTACACGAAAATAAAACTAGAAAACCTTTTATGATTTTCCGGTGCAATTAGGATAGTAACATTAAGAAGGCAGCTTCTTGGCGGAATGAGTTTAGGTTTACCAACTTTGGTAGATTTGATAATATTCAAAAAGAGGCCCATAATTAAGGATAACTTTATTTTTAGAAAGCAATATCTAAGATCATTTCAATTTGAAATTGGTTTAAAATATATTCTCCCTATTTCAAGAACACAAAAATAGGTTTCTTTTATGTGCTTCATCACACTATAACCGTTGTGAAATAAATAGGAAAAGCGTTAGGCACTTGCGACTGACTCATTGCATTTTTATGATTGATTGAGTCAACATCTTATCTCATAGGACACCAGAATTTTCCGCTTGACTGCCTTTGCAAGCCCCATAATATATATGCAAAATAACTCAGGTTGGAAGCTGGCTGTGCCAGCGAAATTCGAAAATACAAGTTTTTAAAGTTCAGAGTTTGGAGAAACAATGTACGTGAATTCAAGTTCCGTTTGAAATGGGCAGCAAAATAGCGGGTTTCCGGCGGAACCGAAAACAAGTTCCTTTCGCATAGAGTTATATTCATTTCGCATATATTCGTGAGTCACTCGAACGATAACAGAGTTTGTCTATTGAAACGCGACAGCAACCTTGACAAGTACACATTTGCAGTGCAGTTCGAGTGCTGCTTGGCCAAAACCGAGCGGCTGGAACAGGATTTTGGCCCAGGTGTACCATTAGTTACCTTGCCAGGGCTGTGGCTGAAATCCGCTCCTACGTGCCCAGCTTTTTCCCTGCCAATGTATCTGTATCTGAGCCTCGTATCTGAATCTGTCTGCTGAAACTGTGTGCCTTGCGTTGGTTGGCTGACTGAAAACCCGTTCTTGCAAAAAATGGTAAGCTTATATCGGCGGAGTAGTCTTAGCCACTGCCAGTGCTGGTTTTTCGCTACACTTTTGTCTTGGATCGACTCGAACTGGCGCTGCTTTTGCTTTGCTTTTTCTCTGCTTTTGCTCTGCTTTGCTGTGCTTTGTCGCAATGCAGTCGGCAGATGGATGGAGATCCGCTTCAAGGCGAGTGCCTGTGACAAATATGGCTAAATTGTCGTAGGTGTCTGTCTATATTGGTCTACCAATTGCCTCAACTTCTACATCGAATCTCTGGTCTTTCAGAGTTGCGTGAGCGCAGACGCTTTTATGCAATAAGTGTAAGTGGACAAATAAACTGGATGACAAAACTAAACTATAAGCACCCAACTTGATTTCAAGCAAATAATATTGCTGTGGCAAAGGTGCATTTTGTGTTAGCTGGTGCAGTCGCAAACCTCTTCAAATCCCAAGTTGGCTGACCTATCCATCTTCTGATCGAACATCTGTTCATCAGCGGCGGTCCACGCTTGTCCATCAAGTCAAAATTGAAGGCAACGCGAAAAATATGCTTAAGAACTCAGAAGCCAGCGAGAGCCGCTTGAAAAATAGGTTCTGGGCTTTATGGCTGAGCCGAGCTCCACATGAATCACATATGTATCTGTGCCTAGGCATCCGTGTATCTATGTATCTGCGTATCGCGATATTTGGGGCGAAGGTCGTTGACAGAAGGCCGCCAAAACCAAAAGCAAAAGAAATACAATGGGCGAGGTGGAGGTAGTTATTCAAAGACTCCGATGATGGCTCAGCTGAACGGTACCTTTTGGGCTGGCCATAAATTATGCACTTTAACTACCTGAGTTATGCTTAGTTATTAAACAAAGATACACGTACTCTGAACTCTGCAAGTCTAGGGCAAAATAGGATTTAAAGCAAGGTAACATTGTATGAATTTTAAGCTTTACACTCAGATACTTAAGTCTTTATCACGCATACGCCATGTTGTTTGCTTGATTGGTATGTAACTATTTCCTATTTAAGATAATTAGGTACAAAATATGGTAAATGTAACTATTCATATTTAAGATAATTGGGTACGAAAAGCGATGTATTCGTAACTCAAGCATGATACTGCAGTATCAGTTTCCTTTATTCCTTTAGAGAAATCACTAATGGAGTTTTCTTTCTCACAGCCCGAACCCAAATCGTTGTTTTCTGGCTCTGGAGAGCCCCGCGCGGAACTGCCAAGCGACATGAGCTGGGACCAAGGGCCACTCTTGGCCAAAAGAGGACGGCGTGGCCTGCTGGCCGCTCTCCTGCTGATTTCCCTCGCCGGCCAGACGGCGGCCCAGTCCAATTACGTGCAGCATGGAGACAGCGGCAACTACACCACCAACGGATTGCCCGAGGAGGCGACGCTGGACGGCAAGGTGAGCGATCACTCCAGCACACTCCGATTACCCGCCCTAACGCCCTTGGAATGGCCAGTTGGCGGAGCCATCCGTCAAGCTGGGCTAGTTTAGCCGTTTAAACGGTCGTCAATGTCCAAAACTGCAGCTCAGATGCGCCTAATCGCCGCCGAAAAGAATAGATACATCGTTAGTGATCAAGAAAACTGGCAAACTTGCCTGCTCCATCTTATTGTTAGATGAGGAAGTGCGACTGCAACCGCGGATTAAAGCTGTGTTAGAGATGCATTTGCATCTCCTCGCTTTATAAGCTAGTGTTATATCAGCAGCTCCCGCTTCCACTTCCGTTGGAAGTGCTCCACACCCGCAATGAATGCTCGGTCTTACACAGATGCTAGGGAAAATCCCAGATCACAGGCCCATTGTCTGCCAGCGAAATGGAGCACGAGCGTGGCAGAAAGTGCCAATTAAATATGCACAAACCCAGCCACCCAGTTAGTTAGTTGTGGAATGTCAGGCTTGTGAGCTTAGATGGGAATTATTATTGGGGCTGTGCAGAGATGTATATAGGTGTATGCAATTGGGACTGTCTTTGATTCAAACTATCATGCTTCCTTCAAGGTTACCAAGCTGGACGACATCAGTCCACTGATCTTCCTCAACCGCACGAAGGCCGCTCTGAATTGCGCCGCCGGTTCCATGCAGGTAATTGCACTTCCTTCCGAGGATTGCCCTCGGATTGCCCCAGGAGCGCAGTTAACTGAGCCTTTCCTTTCCTTTCCCCACAGGTCGATCTCAAGTTCAACGACCCGTTCCATGGCATCATCCAGGCCGACTATGATCGCAGTAGTGCGTGCCGCGTTAGTGGAAAAGGAGCGCTCAGCTACCGCCTCGAGCTGCCGCTCAAGGGATGCGGCACCATCCAGGTGAGTATCCGTGGGGCGCAGCTGCATGGCAGATGGATCTAACTCTGGGCTATCGCGTGCTCCTCCTTAGAACCCCACCCGTGTGTTCACCAACAACATCATTGTTCGATTCCACGCCAATCTGGAAATGGACGGCGACGAGATCATCACGATAGTGTGCCGCTACCCACCTCCCGTGCCCTCGCTTCCACCAGCGCTGCCGGCGCCCATGTAAGTCTCCCAAGTAATATGTATAGCCACAATATAACCCAAGCTTATCTGCTATCCACTATCCAGCCTGAACCCGATTGCCACCAGTTCTGTGCTGCAGCCGCCGCTGAAGAGCATCCAGATCCTGATGATCATCTGCGCCATCATGTTCCTCACGCTGCTCCTACTGGGCCTCGCCGTGTCCTACTACTGTCTGCGCAGCCGCTCCATTCCGGTGGTGCGTCGCCTGCCGATGAGCATGGGCAGCGGATCGGAGATCACCAAGCTGAGTGGCAGCAGTGTGGGCAACATCAGTGCCTTCGAGGGCGTCAAGATCCCCAGAGCCCATGCCGCCCTTCAGGCGGTCTACAGCTCCTCGGGCAGCGAGGGTGCACTGATACCCTCCGACTATCCCAGTGAATCGCACTCGGAGATCGAGGAGATCGACACGAGATCGCTGCCCTTTAGCTCGGCGGGTAGCTTCGAGAACCGCGCCTTTGTCCACGAAACCTCGAGCATCTACAGCGATCACTATGCTCCGGCTCAGGAGATGCCGTCCGCGAATGCGGTGATGACCACCACCTCGGTGACCCGCCACTCGATTCCCATCCAGGAGGCGGTGGCCGCCGCCGACTCACCCAAATTCGATGTCCAGGTGCGCGTGAAGAAGTCACCACCTCCACCTCCCTCCCCAGTTACCTCGGATACGGAGAGTGTGGCCACTTTGCGTCCGGATCGCAACAATCTGTCGACCATCATGGAGGCCTACGAGGACCGCGAGAGCGTGCTCACCATGGACTCCCTGCCGCCGCAAGTGGAGACGATGCACTCGCAGTTCACCTATGTTCCCGAACTCCATCCGGCGCCGCAAGTGCCCCAGTCCATTCCCCTGCCGCCGCCGGCTGTCGTCGAGCCCAAGTTCTCCGTTTACACACGAACCCACCACGAGGTAGTGGATGGTCGCCCAGAGACCTGGTCCGATTACACCGACGGCCCGGCACCCAGCGAGATCACGGACCTGTCCTCCGAGGCACCTGACATGACGGTGGAAACGATGCACTACTACGAGGATGAGTTCATGCCGGCGGTGGAGCCACCGGTGACCTCGCACACCGTGGATGATGTCTATCTGCGCACGGTGACCGAGAAGAAGACCATCGAGGACATCGAGAGCCACAAGCGCAGGGTCACGGAGTACAAGAGCAAGCCGAGAGCACCACTGCCGCCGCCACCGCCGCCGCCGCAAGTGGATCCCAAGTTCGATGTGCGGGTGCGCAACTACCCTGGCGACCGGGAGCAGCAGCTGTGGGAGAACTTCTCGGACATTTCCAGTGCCTCCGGACTGACCCTTACGCCCAAGATGGAGCGCAGCGAGCTGACCCTGCCGCCGGCGGAGCTGCCGGCCCAGATTCACGACAACAAGCTGAAGCTGACCAGTCCGGAGCTGGTGGGCAACATGAAGCCGATCGAGGTGCCGCCCCAGGACAAGGATGTGCCCAACTGGGACGTGCTCATCCGCATCCTGGAGGAGCCGGAAATGTCGGAGGTGGGTCAGGACGACATGAGTTCGGTGCACAATCTGAGCTACGACGACCGGGCCAAGTGGAAGGAGATCATCACCACCCAATCCTCGCTGCGCACCATGCTCACCGAGGCGGTGGTGCGCGAGGACTTCGAGCGGATTCGCCAGGACACCCGGTACGAGCGCATGTTCGAGCCACAGACCTGGGACGTGATCATCCGCATCCTGGCGCCGCCCGGCGACGATGATCCCGACGTGGAGATGCGCACGCCAAGGCGCGGCAAGAAGGCATCGCCGCAGCCTTGGGACACCCGATCCCGACGCAGCTCGCTGCCCACGCTCTACGAGTACGACAGCGATGGCGGCTCCAGTGTGCGGACCATACGCAACGATCCGGGCATGTCCGGCATGCTCATGACAGGAGCAGGACCTGGCGGCGGACCTGGCGGACCCTTCAACCTGCAGCGCTCGCGTCGCAGCTCGCGCACCTCCTACCAGACCGACCACAACGACTTCCGTTCAATGTCCGAGGTGACCGTCGACTTTGGGCGCCCGCACCAGGTGGACCATCCGGACAACGTGAGCGACGCCAGCAGCTACTACCGGATGCAGTACTACGACGACGACGACCGTCGCTCCTTCCACCGCTCGCTCAGCCATCCCTCGCTGGCCCGATCCGCCAGCGAGTTCACCGAGCACTGGACCGCGCCCGACGACATGGAGGTCTCCTCCCCGGAGGGCACTCCGCACACTCGCCGCGCCCGACAGGTGAGTCAGCCTTCCAAATGAACCCCGTTTATTTCCAACATCTCGGTTCCTATACGTACATCCTACATCCAATCCTTGCAGCCCCTGTCGTCCAACCAAGTGGCCCTAGCCGCCGGAAGGAGCGGCGAGCGGGTTCTGTCCCAGACCCAAACGCAGAGCGAGTACGTGGAGACCCACCGGAGGGTCTACCACGCCGAGAAGGAGATGCCCTTGCCTCCACGCAAGTGGTAAACGGATCGGAACATAGCGCCCATTGAAACTAACAATCGATAGAGCACCCAAGCTCCAGATGAGCCACCTCGTCCCATCAGGAGCGATAATCGAGGGCAGATCCGCCAGTTTCTCGAATGCCCATTGCATGCAATTCGAATTATGGGTCACATATGAATGAGTACTCAATAACCTTACAATAATTAACAAACGTGCCAATTACAATTGCCTGACAAGTAGCCACTTAAAGAAAAACTTGACTGTCAGTTCGAAGCGATGATGATTTAGTTCTGATTTTTTTTTTTTGCGTTTCCCCTAATTTTAATTTGTATCGAAAGCGTGAAATTTATTCGATTCGTGTGTTCTGCACTCCCACCTGGGATTTCGCATTTAATCAAAGATGTTCTGAGGGAAATTAGCAGGTAGATAATTAACCAGATGGTGTGTGAGGGCTATAATTTTAGCTAAAAGTGTTCTTTAAATGTTACGCTGCCGTTTGATGGGAAATTTGTATGAGCAGTCACAAAATCCTGTCAACTTATTGTCGAAATTAGTTGGTTGTTTATGCTTACCTACTACTCGCTAGTTACAAATGTATATATGTATATATACAAAGTTCAAACTGCCACATGCACTCAATTGATTTTGAACAGATTTGGGGATCTTCAGTCCTTACAAATATACATATACTCCGGTAGAAGGGATAGATACACAGGTTTGAAATACAAGTATTACTACTGAATAGCATTCTTCGCGATACACAACATATTGGAATTGAGTACGAGTAGACTAAATGTTCGGGTATCCTAATTGAACGAGGTCGGATGCCTTTCCAGGGGTCACACACGATATACTTTCTCATGATAATCAATTTTCTCGTAACATAGTACTAATCCGTCCAAGACATATACTATAAGTTAATTGATAATTATTGATTGTCGCAATCAGCGAAAGCGACAAGCTGCAGCCTTATAAACAAACTTACATATTTAATTCGCTTTTTGGCTAGGCAAGCCTTGCAAAATGTGTATAATCTAAAACAATTTGAAATAAATTATGAATAAATAAATATACCCACTAACAAAGTTGGCCCTCGTTTCATTCCAATTCTAAGTGCTTCTCAAATTTGAAGCAACTTTATTTCGGCACGTTTCCCGAAAGTTTGTGGCTTTGAAAAGCAAATCGGGCATTGTAATACCATCACAGTCGAGTTCAAATATATTTACACTTTTGTGTTTGTGAGGGGAGATAGACTATCAGCCAAATCTTCCTGAATTGCAGTATGAAATTGGATTTGCACATCACTTTAAAATTAATCGTTTAATTAAGGTAAGAAAACTGAGTGTGAACCAATTTTTGATTTATGTAAATTCAGAATAAAAAATATATTCGCGCTTCTCTGCTCCATACAAAAAATAAAAGAGGTGAATAATTCAAATAAAATAGCGTCTGTTTTCTATACATATTACAGCAACATTTTCAAACGTTTCTTTTTGATTTACACAAATATTTTTCCAAGTGTATACTTTAAATGCTGTATGCGCATTTTTCGGTTGATTCGCTGTCGCAGTTTGAGGAAAATGCCTGTGTCCCAAACATATGCACATGGCTACATATAAATGAATGCAAATTTCTAAGGCCCTCGCTCAATTCAAGTAAAATACATTTTTTCTGATCCCAAACAGTTTCAGAGACTTGAACGGGACACACGTGCATACATTATACCGATCTTCCAAGGAATTGTTCAGTTTTAAGTATAAAAAAGATTGTATTTTAGTTTTTGTCTATCCCTTAAGACGATCAAAGTGAGTGATGCTAAATAATAAAATGCATCGATGTTAAATAATAATTGATTTATGTAGAAAATCACAAAACAACTCTTTTCCTGTTTAGAGAGTAAATTGAAAATATCATGAAGTTAAAATATTTAAAGCCAATTTAATGTGTTGCAGGTGGACTTAATTCTAAAATGCAAATAAACAGCGATTCAAACCAGGAACAATACTTCAGAAGAAATATTCCAGGAAAAGTTAATGCTGCGGATTTCCCGAGCTATTCCAATAATTTATTTATTGGTTATAAGCTACAATTATTTTTCTGGACAGCAGTATGCTGCTATGTTTTCATGTTTTTGATTTTTCTGGCAATATGTATTTCGATATATGTATATTTTAAAAGCTAATTTAGCGTTAATTTTTTTTTAATTTAAAATTACATGATTACATCTTTGATAATAATGATTGTCTTTGCAACTAGAACTTCAACCAGTTGGACAGTAAAGAATGTTTAAAGGTTTCTTGTTCCTCGATTTTTATGCAAGATATTGTTTTATTCCAACGGTGGTGGATTTATATTTTTGTCAAACTTAATGGCTAAATGCTTGTATTTAAAGGTGTTTTATAAAGTTTCTTATGTAAATACTTTTAAATAAATACGCAATGCAGGAATCCTATGCTTCTTAATTCAACCTTTAGGGGGATATTTTAGCAAACAGTAATGTATTTATTTATAGCATTAATTTCTTACTAACATATTAAAACAATTTTACAAATAATAATAAACAAAATACTGAAACGCCCGGCATCGATACTATTTATAGTCACCTTGCTCATCAGTAGCGATTACTTATTATCGATAGGCATAGAACCGCTGTCATTCGCTGTTATCGATAGACTCCTCGTGAGTCAAATGAAACTGCCGTATTTTTAACACTGACAAAGCAGGCCGGGCAATTTTGTTGAACAAGCGAGAATTCGTTCACTTTTTTATATCCTACGTGCCCCCACGAGCGTGGAAATCTCGAACTGACTCGATTCAGAATACACAATAGCCACAGCTTCGAAGAAGCGCCGAACGGCGGGCTCCCGAATCCGAAAGCGCCAAACGCACACACCATACCATAATCATCGCGGCCACGCTCCAAGCTTAGGAATTTGCCTATTCCGGAAACCCGGACCAAGCGATCTGTGCTCCTGGAACGGGTACTGCAGGTGAGCGTCCGCCCCAACCGGGCAACGTACCCATCCACCAGTGCGCATTGCTAACTAGATCTCACCGCGATCCCCGCAGAAACGCAGCAAAATTATCAACCTTGGGTGAGAAGAAACAGCAGGCGCCATGAGCGTGGACACGTACGCGCCCAGCTCGGCGCTCTCGTTCCTGGACATGGACGACAATGAGCTGCTTCCGGGTGCGGATACGCAACCCACCCAGTACGATTACCGGGACTTTACCATGCCTTCCACCTCGCAGAGCCAGACGCAGAACGATCAGCTGGAGCTGCACGTGAGTTGGCCACCAAACAGTCCATGAAACCCTGATTGCATCTACCCTTTTCAATTTACAGCCTCGCCGTTCTGGCGGGGACGCGAATCCGCGACTGGCGAGCATCACCAACGATCTGGCCGATCTGCAGTTCGAAGAGGAGGATGACGAGGGGGGCAGCTCGTACGTGAAGGAGCTGCCGGTGCATGCGTGCAAATACTGCGGCATCCATGATCCAGCCACGGTGGTTATGTGCAACAATTGCCGCAAATGGTTTTGCAACGGACGTGGCAGCACCTCCGGTTCGCACATCATCAATCATCTGGTGAGGGCAAAGCATCGCGAGGTGACGCTCCATGGGGAAGGTCCCCTGGGCGAGACAATCCTGGAGTGCTACTCCTGTGGTGTGCGCAACGTGTTTGTGCTTGGCTTCATTCCGGCCAAGGCCGATTCTGTGGTCGTGCTGCTCTGCCGCCAGCCGTGTGCCGCCCAGAATTCGCTAAAGGACATGAACTGGGACCAGGAACAGTGGAAACCTCTAATTGCAGACCGCTGCTTTTTGCCTTGGCTGGTAAAGCAGCCCAGCGAACAGGGACAACTGCGCGCGCGCCAAATCTCAGCGGCCCAGATCAATAAGCTGGAAGAGCTATGGAAGGACAATATTGAGGCCACGTTCCAGGATCTGGAGAAGCCAGGCATCGACTCGGAGCCAGCACAAGTGCTGCTTCGCTACGAGGATGGCTATCAGTACGAGAAAACCTTCGGGCCGCTGGTCCGCCTTGAGGCCGACTACGACAAGAAGCTGAAAGAGTCGGCCACCCAGGAGAACATCGAGGTACGCTGGGATGTGGGCCTGAACAAGAAGACCATTGCCTACTTTACGCTGGCGAAGACCGACTCCGACATGAAGCTCATGCATGGCGACGAGCTTCGCCTGCACTACGTAGGCGAGCTGTACATCCCATGGAGCGAGATCGGCCACGTTATCAAGGTACCGGACAATTTCGGCGATGACGTCGGCCTGGAGCTGAAAACCTCATCGAATGCCCCCGTTAAGTGCACCAGCAACTTTACGGTGGACTTCATATGGAAGTGCACTTCATTTGATCGCATGACGCGTGCCTTGCGAAAATTCGCTATAGATCGCAACTCGGTGTCGAACTATATTTACTCCCGTCTGTTGGGTCACGGTCGTCCGGATTCCAACGACGAGGTGCTGTTTCGCGGACCACAGCCCAAGCTCTATAGTGCCCCGCATCTGCCCGATTTGAATCGCAGTCAGGTGTACGCCGTAAAACATGCCCTTCAGCGTCCGCTCTCGCTGATCCAAGGGCCGCCCGGAACCGGCAAAACCGTGACATCGGCCACCATCGTTTACCAGTTGGTCAAGCTGCATGGTGGCACAGTGCTGGTGTGCGCTCCCAGCAACACAGCCGTGGATCAGCTAACAGAGAAGATCCACCGCACAAACCTGAAAGTGGTGCGTGTGTGCGCCAAAAGTCGCGAGGCTATCGATAGCCCAGTCAGCTTCCTGGCGCTGCACAACCAAATCCGCAATATGGAGACCAACTCGGAGCTAAAGAAGCTCCAGCAGCTGAAAGACGAGACTGGCGAGCTGAGCTCAGCGGACGAAAAGCGCTACCGCATCCTGAAACGCGCCGCCGAGAACCAACTGCTGGAGGCGGCCGACGTCATCTGCTGCACATGCGTGGGCGCCGGCGATGGACGTCTATCACGCATCAAGTTCACCTCGATCCTGATCGATGAGTCTATGCAGTCGACGGAGCCGGAGTGCATGGTGCCAGTGGTGCTGGGCGCCAAGCAGCTGATCCTCGTGGGCGATCACTGCCAGCTGGGACCGGTTGTTATGTGCAAGAAAGCAGCTCGTGCCGGCCTATCGCAAAGTCTGTTCGAGCGCCTGGTGGTGTTGGGCATCCGTCCGTTCCGGCTGGAGGTGCAGTATCGTATGCACCCCGAGCTGTCCCAGTTCCCGTCCAACTTCTTCTACGAGGGCTCGCTGCAGAACGGCGTCTGCGCGGAGGATCGTCGCCTTAAGCTGGATTTCCCCTGGCCGCAGCCAGAAAGACCGATGTTTTTCCTGGTGACCCAGGGACAGGAGGAGATTGCCGGCTCCGGTACCTCGTTCCTCAACCGCACAGAGGCGGCCAACGTGGAAAAGATCACGACGCGATTCCTCAAGGCAGGCATCAAGCCGGAACAAATTGGAATCATCACGCCTTACGAGGGTCAGCGCGCGTACCTGGTGCAGTACATGCAATACCAGGGCAGCCTGCACTCTCGCCTCTACCAGGAGATTGAGATCGCCAGCGTGGACGCGTTCCAAGGACGCGAGAAGGACATCATTATCATGTCGTGCGTGCGATCCAACGAGCGTCAGGGAATCGGCTTTTTGAACGACCCACGTCGCCTTAACGTGGCCCTCACCCGGGCGAAGTACGGCATCATCATTGTGGGCAATCCCAAAGTGCTAGCCAAGCAGCAACTGTGGAACCACCTGCTCAACTTCTACAAGGACCGTAAGGTGCTCGTCGAGGGATCGCTGAATAACCTCAAGGAGTCGCTCATCCACTTCCAGAAGCCCAAGAAGCTCGTCAACAGCATGAACATTGGGGCACACTTTATGTCCACCATGATTGCGGATGCCAAGGAAGTAATGGTGCCGGGCTCCATTTACGATCGCAGTGGCGGTTACGGCCAAGGTCGCCAAATACCGGCTCAGACCATGAATGGCGGGCAGTACGGCGGCAGTGGAGGTGGTCCCTACGGAAACTCACCCCTCGGTTACGGTGCTCCCAGCTCCAATTCCATGATGGGCTTCGGCCTGGGTAGTGGAGGCAATGGTGGTGCCGGTGGTAACAACAACTTCGGAAACGCTGGCGGGGCAGGACCCAGTTGGGCGGCTGCCCACCTGCACCACGACTCTATTGGCTACATATCCAACGAGCACGGAGCAGCAGCGCTGGGCAACATGCCAGTCCCGGTTGGCATGTTCATGAACATGAGCAATCTTCCGCCGCGGTTCTACAACCAGCACCAGCAGGCGATCATGGCGGCCAAGCAGAATCGCGCCATTCAACAGCAGTCGGGTAACTTCACTCCGGCTAATTCGGGAGTTGGAGTCACTGGATCCGGAGCAGGCGCCTCCCTAGTGGGCAATAAGAAAACCCAGAAACTGGGAAAATTGCGCGCAGCTGGTGGTGGGACTGGTGGAGCACCGGCAACAGGAGGACCAGGCGGCCAGACGGGCTCCATATGCAGTGCTACTCCGTTCAGTCAGCAGCCGGTACCTTTGTCGCTGCAGATGACCCAGCCCAGCGGATTTGCTCTCTCCCAGCAGCCGGAACTTTCGCAGGACTTTGGGCAAATATCGCAGATGGACGGTTTGCTATCCCAGGATGTCGCCTTTAATGTGGTAAGTGTGGCATTGATAGTTTTCAAATGTATAATGCTAAGCAATGCCCATCGTAATCAAATTATCCGTGTGTTGCAGGCGGGCGAGCGCAGTTTGAATCAGTTCTCACAGCCTTATTGAGAATCCGGCCGGAGGTGCACCAACTACAAACGATAACAAGCAACCCAAACGAAACAACAACAAACTCAACTTTGAAGTCATCATCAAGGAGTAGCATCAGTAGGCAGCAGGAACAAAGCAAAGTGGACTATCATGGGAACAACGACAGATGCGGGAAACAATGCGACAATGCGACCTAGGAACATGAGGACAAAGCGGGACATTAAAGACGGCAAATCGAGACGAAACAGTGTGGCAGATAGAGACCGAGATGGCAAGATGTGGAGTGCGTTATGAGGAAGACTGAGATGGAGGAGGGATGTCGAAAGATCGAAAATCGAGAGCATATCACTGTAGGCTGCCAGGGGATGCACTGCTGCAGCCGC